TTCTACAGGTTATCTGAAGGAAACTGTTAAAGATGTGTTCAGAACTGTGAGGTAGATTGTTTTAAGTTATTGAGAAAACCACAGTAATTGTTTTAAGTGTATAAATTTCTCATTTTGTTCTGCATGCATCAAGCCAATTATTATAAGCCCTTATTCCCACAGTATTCAAGTATGTTTCCTGATCAAACCTGCACTGTCAATCATGCCTGCCTACATGAATCAGTGTCAGTTCAAAAGGAGAGCAATTTCTAGCCTCTTCTACACCAGATTATCAACCACCAATAGTTCTGTCAGTGACTTCTGAAATGCTTGATGACGAGGAAAATAGATCTGCCCCAGAAGAATTCAAAAGTTTAGCCCCTTCAGATGCTGAAGGTTTTTCAGAGGTTAGCAATCAAGTCTTATTATGCTGTTTATTCAACTCATCCTTTGACCAGAAATGTACATTCATTTTGATTATTCATAAATATGTTTTAAACTGAATATATTTTCCTCTGTTATCCTGGTTTTCATTCTTTGCTTCCTTTTCTCTTATTGCTCGCTTCCTTAAAAGGGTTTCCTGGGAAAGGTAGTTGACAATCACATGCTGAAGCAGAATCTGGTTTCACTGTTCTTTATTTTGTTTTTCTTGATGAGAAACATTAGGCTTGTATTCTTGACTCTTTGTTTTGCATTTGTCAACTCTTAACTCTTACGCTTCTCTACCTAGGCTGAGGGGCAGCTCTACAAAATGCTTTTGGAAGAGAGAATGAAACTTGCAAGAATTGTTGGAACAGCTCCGTAGGTTTTCCCCCTCAAAAACCACTTTTTTTATTCATGATTTGATTGATTTCTTAATGGAACTATTTTACCATTTTATAGATATGCCATTTGTGGCGATCAAACAATCAAGAAAATTGCACTGACAAGACCATCTACAAAAGCAAGGCTAGCAAACATTGATGGTGTGAATCAGGTAGTTCTTCAATTTGCTAAAATTCAATGTTGATACTATAAGTGCATTAGAAGTCTTGCAGACTAGTCCAGTACTGGTTCAACAAGGATATGCACTGACCATTAACCAAGTAGAAATTAGAATAAAGAGCGATCTTGTTTAACATCAAATAGATGTGGATCCCATGCATCTTATAGAGTCTGAAAAATGAGCTGCATTTTTAACAGCTTATAAATAATAATATTGATCTCACTCTGAAAAAGCTGGCCTCAATGATTTTGTAAACTAACTTCTTGTTACTTTATTTATGTTCTAGTGTTCGAATCTCTTTATTTAATTTTTTTTTATACTTCCCTTATGTTTTTACAATTTAGTAATATGTTTCTTTTAAATTGTTAACTTAGTTTAATGAAGACCTAATTTTACAAAATTCTTTGATTCTTTCTAAATTAGTGTAGTTATGATTTCTCTTTTGAAGTTATGATTACAACTTGTCACTTCCCTATTTTGCTTCATATATAAAAAAGTTTTATAAAGGTTTTTTAAATTTTACTTAGTTATATTTGTGTAGAAATTTCTTGATAATATAATGGAGTAAACTTGAGCTTAAGCCCTCTACCGTCTCCCTTTCCACTTGTATCAATCACATCTCAAGTATATTATGATTCTGATTAGTATTGCTGGAGAAGTGCATAAATCAGATGCTGGCAGTAGTACTTCGAACAGTTTTCAAAAACATGATGGGGAATGTCGCAAGATTATCAATATTTTTTTGGGGCCTTACAAGATCGTCAATATTATGGCAAGTGAATTTGATTTATAAAGCTTAAGCTAAATTTAGGGTTTGCTAATAATTAAGTCCTATGACTATTACTATTTTTATATTGTTAGTGACGTCTATTATAACGTTATTTCTCCTATAGCTTCTAGGTTTAACTTTTACCTCAGGGACTCTCTCTCTCTTTCTCTCTCTGTGTGGGAGACTTAATAATTCGGCTTAATGTTGTCTATAATTGACTTGGGCTATTGGTAGTGGACCGGACTGCAAAATTCTTGGCTAGCTTTCGCACTTATGTTTCTCCTTGGAAAGATATTATCCTGCATGAAGGTCCTATAGATGGTTAATATTAGAATTTTTAGCAGAAAATTTAAACTGACTGGATAAATAGCCTGAATGTGCTGGTCCTCGCAAACGATTGCCACACTATAGATTTCAAGAAGAAACTACGATGGACATCAAGAGCACTATCTAAAACTTAGAAGAAACAATCTATCGGCAATAGTTTACTATCACAGAATCACTAATTATGCCTTGGAACAATATGCTGCATTAAATATATTTCTTCAGCCAGTAGCCTTGTGCTACGATGGAATTAATTCCTCAAGTGTCTTTTAAGCAAAGAGGTTGTGGGTTCAACCCACCATGGGTGCATGAGTTCTTTCTCCTGGGTGAAGGATGGAAAGAGAAAAAAAAAATGTTAAACCAATGAAAAGGAATTCCCAATTTATGTGATGCTTGCTCCTTTTAATGTTTTTTTCTTTCTGTTATTTGAAATCTGAACAATTTTGTGTAGCACCTGGTAACGAAATATGGAGATCATTTTCTTCAAGTGATTCAACAATTGTCGCAAGGATTGAGACTTTCACTGGATGGAGAAGCAAGCTTGCAAGCTCCTCCAGTAAGGAAAGTGTCCACTGTAAGATTAACTAATGAATCAAAGAAGTTGACGCCAGCAAAGTTTGAAGCCTGGAAACTGTGGCACGAAGATGGTCTTTCTATCCAGATGATTGCTGTATGTCTCATTAGTTTGTGACCATCATCAACGATGCATGACTATTATGCTTCACTGTATAATTTCTCTCCACTTCTAACTTCCTTATCGCAGAACTTTCCAGGTAGATCAGCTCCTATAAAAGAACAGTCTGTTGCTGAATATCTACTGGAAGCTGCACAAGAAGGATTGCCTTTTGATTGGAATAGATTTTGTGAGATGGTTGGACTGAAATCTGAAATCATCTTGGAAATTCAGGGTGCTATTCTAAAGGTTGGATCTACAGAAAAATTGAAGCCTATAAAAAATGAGTTACCAGAAGACGTGAGTTCAATATCTGGCATTTATGATTTGAGTTTATTATAATAATTTATGCAAATACAACCTGCCGCCCTATTTTTCCTCCTGGGAGGCAATTTTCTGGTTTCAAATTCAAGTATTTTTATCTGCATGAAACTAATGTTGCCTTGTATTGTACATATTGGTCCCTTTGCAAATATCTTTATAGTTTAACCAAAGCCTGTCTCATCCTTGTATTATGTGTTAGCTAATGACAAACAACAGTGGATAACTTGTATCAAAAGCTACTAACAACAGCTGAGGGAGGTGATATCACCGGCTTATTGTTGACATTGAGTGAATGAGTGGTTCTTGGTGGATTTCAAAAGTTAAATCTTGCTAATAAAAACTACGTTTTCTTTTGAGTTCTATTCAGTCATAGTAACAGTCATTGTTCGCTGTGATATGAGCCAAAACTGGCCGTTGGATGGCGAATTATATATCACTTGTTGAGCATCAGATTGAATAAATTTGACTTTTATGATGTCAGGTTAGCTATGTACACATCAAGACTTATTTGGCAATGAGGAACGCTGGAATATCTCTTGAAGGCACTCAGGACGGGAGCAGTCCGGCAGAGAAAGCTGATGAACTCGTGAGGGAGGCATCAGATTTATCTCAGAATCGATTAGATACAGGCAACATGGAAATAAATGGGGAAATTGACTTGTCTTTGAAGAGTCCGGTGAAAAGATCTGGCCCAGATAAGGATGAGGAATCAACTGGACCTGCCAATGGTTGCCAGGCACAGAATCTTCAATTAGTCTGTGAGGAGTTGACTAACAAACGTCAAAAAGTGGGTGAACTAAATGAAGAAAATCCTTGCAAATTGAAGGCAACAGAGAATTCCTTGTTTGAGTGGCTGAAGAACCATGAAGGAGTCAGTTACAAGTTACAACTCAACTTTGTCCTTGATAGATTTTCGTAGTTTTCATTCTAATGAAAAATGTGCATGTTTATTTGCCGCAGGCTACATTGAATGATATTCTGAACCACTTCAATGGGTCCAGTGAAGATTCTGTGGTGGAACTACTGAGTTGCCTTGAGGGTGAGTTTTTTATCTATAAGAAAAATAGCATGTACAGGCTTATGTGATTATGTGCATCGATTTATTCCTAGCAATATTGCTTCTGTATTTCAATGATGGTACCCTGCGATGTTACTAAAACTTTAGCCGATATGGATGCTTGAGTGCTTTCAGCCATTTTGCTGATCTCATGTGTAAGTTGTTTTATGCTTTTTTTTAAAAAAAAAAATTTACGGCTTCTGATGTGTTGTAGCAGTAGTAGTAGTAGGTACAAGGAATAAGAATCTTTTTAGCTGAGGGGAGGATGACGAAGCAGATACAAGATTAGCTCATTAAACAATTCACACATTAGATATATATACATACGCGCGCGCGCGCGCGCACAACATGCCTTTGACGTTATCTTTATCAATAAGTTCGTTTGTACAATACGAAATTTCAAATTTATAAAGCCGTACGGTTGATAAAGTAATTTATTTATTAGAATTCATATAATGTAAAAAAAACTTGCTTAATTTAATAAATGTAGACAGTTTCTTCTGTGTGTGAGGCTAATCAAAATGACAAGGGATATCGTTGTTCGTCAACATTTTGACCAAAAAATATAATAATTTATAGATTTTAGCGTTATCCTCAACTTCCACGAGAAAAAGGATTTGATTTTAAAAATGTGCATAAAATTTAATGTAATATAGATGAGGAATATCAATCAATTAAAATAAATAAATTTTAAAAACCATGTTAAAGCCAATTAAGATTTAAAAATGTTTTATTAGAATATTGACACTCTGGCAAGTGAAAATTTAGCTGGGACTTGAAAAATTCTTCAGAGAAAAATCAGCTTATCCATTGAAACTATTATCAATACTATTAAACAAAATGACAGTATCAAAGTTGCCAAGGAGAGTGCAAGTATTCTTATCCTTGCTGAAGAAAAATGGAGGAAATGTATAATTTTATGCAGAGCAGAACAGCCAGTAAGGTGAAATTCTCCCCATCAACATGAAAACAGAGGGGGAACAAGGTTAATCATAGTATATTCAAAAGAATTGTATAAACCTACCCTGAGAATTAAAGTTAATCTTTACTTCAAAGCATCTTCCAGATCCAAGTCCACTCCTACTCGGTTTTTTAGAGTGGTAATGCAATCTATAGGTGTTCTGCACTTTATCTGTAGCTCCCTGAATCTCTCAACATCAAAATTTTGCTTTTTGAAAAGCTTCTTCTGCCTCGAAATGAAGAGCCTCTTCATGAAGTCTTGGTATGTAGGGTCTCTTGAAGTGAACAGAAAGTAGGCATAGCCTATGATTAAGCCTGTTGTCGTGGTAAAAAATGCGACAGGTTCCATTACATCCCATGAGAATTCCCAGAATGTTAGCCGGAAGAAGGACCCGACAATACCAATGCCAAAGCCAAGTCCTGACCAGAGGATGCGCCGCACCTGCTTATGCGCCAACACATCAATGTCTTCTTTCTTCTCCTGCAGCTTCTTTAACTCCTCCCTCATTGGATCATCCTCAGCTGTCAGTGCCAGTGGTACTGCTCTTCTAACCAAATCAACTACCTGAACACATAACAAATTGAGCAAGCAACAGAAGAAGAATCAGTAAAGCTCAGGCTTTTGAAAACGACTGAATTGCATATTGCTTCAGGAGATATAACTATACCAGCCAAAAAGAAAAAAGAAAAAGGTGCTTGACCCCAAAGGTATGCTGCCGTCCAGGCAAATTTACAGGTAGGATTCCCTGCACAGTTTGCACTGGACTGGAAGATACCTCAGAAATGGATGGTACATTGCCAAATACACCCCAGAGAAATAAATAATCACAGTTCTGAAAGTTATGAAAACTAAGGCATGATTAAAAACCAGAAATACTACTCCTCCTCCTCCAATCTCATTGATTCTTTCTGTGGCTTAGTTATGCAGTTGAAGACATAGTGAACAGTAAAACAACTTGATAATTCCCCTGCCTTAATGAAGGTGAGGTCTGAGAGATATGAACAGTCCACTTAAAACTAGCAAGTTTTAGCTCTTTGATTCAGATCTGACTTCCAGAACCGCCCTGCCATCAAAACGGGCTTTAGCTCTTTGATTTCAATAGCTTCTACTCAATTTTACTGTTTCCATAGAAGTAAGGCAGAGTGATGTCAAGGAAAATCAAGCATCAGAAAGAAAATTCAAATACTTATAAGTCACTTCTAAAGGCTTCAGTAATTTACCAAGCTGCTGGTAAATACGACCAAATTTATTGACATTCATAGGTCATAATACTTGTTAGTAATGTTATTGTACTAACATATGAGCGAACCAAAAAGAATGAGTATAAAAGATGTTCAGCCATCAAACAACTCTTAAGTGCAAATTGAAATGAAATTTCAGGTTATCTTTACTAAAAGAATGTTCCCCCTTGATGAACGCTACCACTTTATCACTAAATATGAAGTTATTTCAATCTCCCACATTATATAACATCGCTTTTGCGATTGCAAGCCTGCCAATGTGAAGAGCTATTCAGTCTTGAGATAATGGAGTGAAACATTGAGAAGATGTATTCAAATATTTAGCATCCAAAATGTCTGCTGCTCAGAAAACATTGTACACATCTATAAGATTTGAAAACTTTCAAAATCAACATTTTACAAGCAAAAAAACCTGATCAGTCAGTTCTCCTACCTCAAATTACTAAGAAAGAAAAAAGTGGGGAAAGCAAAATAGAAAATGACAAATCAACACCCTCCGTGTCTCCAACTAAAGTTAAACCGTCAAATAAGACAGTTTCTCAGCAGAGGGAGTTATGGCAAAGGGGTGATTTCTAAAAAAATTCTCGGTTTCAATCTAAAGAGTGAAAAAGTTTAGATGCAGGCTTAAACTATAAATCTCACAATCCATAAGACGCCTATATGACCATTATCAGATAGTAGTGTGTAACAATTACAAACAGCTTAAAGAGCCCTCTCATCAAAAAGAAGGAAAAGTAAACAGATAGGCTTATGGCAAATTTTTTGCACCTAATCACGCTAGTTGTGAGACGCACAAACAAATACACAGTACAGTGCAGTCCTATGTATATTCTATTGCAGACACGATTTGATAGGGACAATCAATTGGTTGAAGTCTAACCTTCTCGGGATGAAGATGGACCTTGTCCCGGAAAAGAAGAATAACCCCAGCTTCATCAAGAACCCGAGCAAAAGCTGTAGCTTCTGCATGATTCCTGGCCACACCCATGTTCTGACATGTCTGTAGAAGCTCCAAGTACGGCATAACTTCCTTCCCTTCTACACCAAGCTTCCTCTTGAGGGATTCTACATCCACCAATCTCATAAGCCTCTTAGCTTCTACGAAAGATATAGAATCTAGATTTTGCGAAACACCATTGTTGTTGTCACCGCCTTTCCCAGATGAGTCGCTTGCAGAAGGGGAAGAAACCGAAGCCGATGCCGATGAAGACATGCCCCGTCTGATATCAATGAATAAAGTTGATAAAGATGCCAACTTTGCAAAATACCTCAAACCCATCGATGGAGGATGAAGGGGGTGAAGGTTCCCTTCGATACCATTGCCGATTTTGGCAATCGTAGACACCCTTTGTTTCAGAGATCCAATACCACCGCTAGCACACCACAGTGACCATCGACTCCACATTTCCAAAAATAGAACAGACAAAAGAAAAATTAGAGATAAAATCTGAACTTTATATGGATAAAACTCAACCAGGCCACCGATTACAAGTTTCGCTGTAAAAATCCTATATTAATATAACCACCCCCCATCTTCTTCCTTCCCCTCCAACTATCTCCACTTATCAGCCACGAGGATTATAGCCGAAGCAAAACTTTCGAGAATGAAAGCAAAGAAGAAAACTTGGCACCAATGTGGAAGAACTGGTTTAATGGATATGGAAAGAGGAAGTGAGGTTACTGACTTTGTGACATTATTCATTCAGGACTTTCTGTCTGCAAATTTATTGGCGCGATAAATACGAAACAGGAAACAGGAAACAGGAAACGAACGCGGTGTGTTCTGAATTCTGATGGCCCAAAAACAGAACGGATAGACTTGGCTTCTCTTCATTTCTTCACATCTTCATTTTTTTTTTTTAACTTTTCATCTGAATTATTAAATTCATTTTTTAATAATTAAAATTTTATTTATATTTTAATAATAATTTTATATAAAATCAAATCTCAACTATTAAAAATAAATTCAATAATTGAAATGAAAAGTGAAAAAAAAATAAAGAAGAAAGGAAATGGAAAAAGAACGGACGCGGTGTGGAAGGGTAAGATTTAGGGATACCCAAGCAATTGCGCGGAGGCCACAAAGGGGCACGCGCCAGAAGGACAGTGGGACCCTGACGGAGCTTCCCACTGGAGATCGTGGAGCTAACATCCTTCTTAACGGTCGTTAACGGTTCAAAGCGGAGTTTCAGGTCACAAAAAGGTTCTAAACGGACTGCATGACCGACCAAGGTACTCGGCCACACACGATACTATCCTCGGTTATGTGTCTGTCTGTCCTGTCCATGCTTAAAAAAAAAAAAAAAAAAAAAAATTATTAACAACACGCTTTCATTTTTCAGAAAACAAAAAATAAAATTAAAAAAATGATAATAAAATCTCTCTAAAATATATAAATGATAATTTAATCTCTCAAAATGTAATAACTTTCTTAAAGTTTTTAGAAATTTTTTTTTCATTAATGAATTTGTAAAAATTATTAAATTACTTTTGTTGAAAATAAATAACTGACAAATTTATTTAAATATTCATAATAATATAATAGCAAATAATAATTCACATGTTTTGAATATTTAAACAAAACTTATGAATTATTTATTTTTAACAAGAATAATTTGATAATTTATATAAATTCATTAATGATAAAAAAGTCACTAAAAACTTTAAAGGAATTAAATATTTTGAGAAATTGAATTATTATTTATAAATTTTATAGTGATTTTATTTTTTTTTCAAAAGTAGGGCCTGTTTGGTAATTTATTTTAAAAATAATTTTCTAGTTTTTAAAATAAAAAAATTGTTTAGTAACATGTCTTTAAAAAATATTTTGCAGAATAAAAAAAATATTATCTCGAACAATAAAAAATAAAAAAATCTTTTGATATTGTTGTTTTGAAAAATAAAGGAGGATGAAAAAATATTTATTTTTAATATTTTTTATTTTTAAAATATAATTTATAAAACACAAATTTTCATAACAATAAAATATAAATAATTTCAAACAGCTCGTACTTCTTTTTGAATTGGGACTATGTCGGCGTTTATTGGAAATTTAAAATGGACTCGATGCACAATTCAATTCGACCGGTAAGTACTTGAGTGAAAACTAGAGTGCCTAATTTTGCATGCGCATGTAAAAAAAATATTTTTAAATAAAATTACACATATCCATAATTTATTAAATATATTAATAATTTTATTTTTTTAATATAAAAATATAATTTTTAAAAACATATTCTTCATTAAATATTTGGTTTATAAAAAGAATATTAAAAAAAAAGAAAACATATAAGAGGGTAATATTGAAAAAAATATTATTAATAAAATTTTATTTTATCAAAGTGTCTAACATGTTAATACTCCAAATCTTGGATTTGGACTTTAGTAATGACACTTAATAGAAGTATTAATCTAACCATTGAAATACCGATCAATAGTATAAATTTATACTCTAGTTGATATCAATAAATGAGTGAGTTTATCTAACTTATTATTATTAATTTCAACGACTTATATAATACAACTACTCTATGCCTACATTTAATAAATTCAAATTCTCAATTTTTTTAAAAACGTCTAATAATTTAGGTGAAGATGCTAATATATAAAAAATTTAATAAATCATGGTTAATCCCCGCATAATTTTATGTTGACATGTTGAATTGTTGATCTTATTGCGTGCCTATAGTCAGTAATTGGCGAAATTTGGGGTTAGGTCACAATCTTTCTTAAATCGAGTACTCGTAACTCTCAGTTTTACAATTTTATCAATCTAATTCTAATCGGATCCAATCAATTTTTCCCCCTTTTCAGCTAACCTTTAACAGGTTGATTGCACTCTAATCTAGGCTAAGCCTCCTACAGAATAATAATAAAATTATGAATGATGGATTGATTGGTTAGGAAGAATGGTAAAGCATGGGCACATGTGTTGCACTGTAAATAAAGTTGGATTCCATGCATTGGGTGTTATTTATAGAAACCACATCAACAAAGCCATAAAGGACTAGACAAAAGTTTGATTCCAGTGATGAAACCCTAAAAATTTTGCGATTAGTTGCTTTAACAGGAAATTAAAGTGGATTTTTTTATATTTCCTATTCAATATTCAATTCGATTTCTACAAGTTTGCACCTTTTAATTTCTGCTGATACCTCACCCCATACTTGCTGTTTAAGTTAGCCTTAGGTGTTAAGTGTATGTATTTAATTAATTAACAGTTAAAGTATACATTTAACTTTTTAGCTTTACATAACATTTTATTTTAGTTTCTTAACACTATAAAATATATTTTTAGTCATTTAATCCTAACATTATTAGTTTTATCTCAACAATTTTTTTACATTGAACTTTTAAACACTAACAAAATATTTTTAAATGTTGATCTATTAAGTTTAATTTTTTTTTAAAATAACAATGATTGATGTAAAAAATAATCATTCAAAATTAATAACATTAGGGTTAAAGAACAAAAAATACTTTACAAAATTAAAAGATCAAATTAAAATTTTATATAAAATTAAAGGATTAAAAGTATACTTTAATCTTAATTAACTTCTCAAATAGTATATTACATGATTCAGCATTGATTATGCATATTCACATAATCAAGACGTCTTAAGGATAGGGAAAGGCAAAATAAACTTGCGCTGCATGTGGGTGCACGGGTAAAAATGTTAGATTTATGATAAAATTGTATTTAAAAAAAAAAAGAGTTGCAAATAACAATTTAAACAACTACAAATTCAAAAAAATTAGTTATAGACAAAGACATTTAAATTTTAAATATAATTTTTAAATTGTATATAATCTGAAATTTCTATTTACAATTTGAAATAGTATATAACTATTTAAATTAATATTTACAATTTACATTTAAAAAATTATGTCAATAACCTAATCATTATTAATTTAATATTTTTAAACTTAAACTATCATTTTTCATTAAAGGTAAAAGAAGAGTGGGGGACTGTAAAGTGAAAAGGTGCATTTTCATGGTTGGCGGAAAAAAAAAAAGGAAGGTAAAGCTGCATTTTCACGAGGAAACCCAGTTACGTTGACACGTGAAAGCCGACTTCAAAATTCGAGAGCGCACTGATGACCCTAACCCTCTTCAAAATTTGTGAGTGGAAGGCAAATACATTAAACCGAAAAATTACCTGAACCCTTTTCCTTATTTTGTGGTTGAAATTTCAAAGGAGACTAAACCTGAGCACAATTGATAGATCCCAGAAAGCGGAGGGGTTAACATCCCCAGAATTACGCCCAAGTCCAAAAGTCCAAGCATCAAATAAACGGACCGCGTCAACTGATTGTCGCTCTCCTAGGCTCGTACTATTATCAATCAACCCACTTGATCAACCAGACAATTAATGGCCATCCAATGAAATGAACCAGACACTCATCCACAAATTAAAAAAGTAAACAAAAAGAAATCTTATTGGTAAGTGGGATTAAACAGAACCAAGCTTGTAGTAAATCAAATCTATCAATATCAACATTAAATTTATAGAAACTTTCACTATTTATATGTAGTGAGTAATAAAGCTCATACCTCGTGGTCCTTGTAATACAGAGATGAACCAATTGATTAAGCATATATTTGAGTAAATAATCAAAATTAAATAGGATTCCATGAACCCCTTCATTTGCTTTCCAATATTCCTTCGCTCGCAGCCATTGTTCTTCAAGAATGTAATGACCCAATCCAAAGTAGATTTAGTTGGTCAATCAAAAGTAATGTTCAATCTAATATGGACAACCCATATGCAGTTTATCATCACATATGAGCAAATAATGTAGATTGCGACTGTCAGTGTCAATCAATAAATGGTCATCAAAATACAGCAATAAATACTAGTAATGTACAAGTCCTGTAGTAATAAGCATGGAGGAGAGCTTCACTTCTTGTGTTTCGCTTTTGAAAGAGTTTTGACCAAACCTTTGGCAATCTTCCAGAACCAAAACATGTTCATGATTGCCAACATATAAGGCACCACGAGCAGGCTGTAAAAGCCGAGAGGAAAGATTGTCTTCACCTGATAGACAAAATTAGAAGTACGAAAATTGATTCAGGCACTGGATACGTCCGTGAAATCTTGAGGAATCAGAAAGCAAAAGCTAATTACCTCATCAAAATGGATCCACATGTGGATAAAAAAGAAGATGAACAGAACAACCCTTGCTAACTGCAGCACAATCATTACAGAGCATAGTAAAAACTGCATTGGAGGTACCAAGAAAAACAGTTCCATAATTCCACTATAACCACTCTTAATCAGAAACAGAGAAGATCATGACTGTGTACAACCATTGTTATGCACATCCACTATACAACAACAACAACAACAACACACATTATCCCACTAAGTGAGGTCAGAAAATCAATTAGCTGGATGACAATATATTTCTTAGTACATTGTCAAATTCTAGACTGCATGATCAATCTCTTCTATAAGCCTTTTGAGCTCAAGAGAACCACCAAATAATTTTGAGAACGATTTTCTGAATAAACGAGTAAAGAATGAAGGAAATTGTCCATATAAAGCTTCATAGTCATGCATTCAATATTCAGTTTTTAATTGTTCTCAGAACCCTGGTGACAAACTTCGTTGTCATTTTTTCCTGAATAAGGCTCATCCAGAATCAAAAAGAGGAAATTACAAAAAGAAGTACCAAAATGAAGCCATCTGCATGACCACGAACAATTCATTTAGGCATGCAACCTATCCAACACAGTATTTCATGAGAAGAATTAAGATCAAGAGTATTAGACAGTACCAACCACCCAAGGAACAACATAATGCCATTCCCAATGTAGAGTTTCGAGCTTTTAAGACCAGCATTATCCAGGTACCTGTGCATGTAATAAATGTAATAAGTAAATAAGCAAACGTTGACCAGGGTACAAGAAAGAAATTGGATTCCCGAACAAACCATCTTAGATTTACACAAGGAGTAGTGCTTTCAGTAAAAAGAACCATCAGTATGTAAAGCTGTGCTTGACCACTTAGTAGAGAGAGGATAATGGAAAAGATGGACAGTCCATGGTGGAGAACCTACATATAAATAAAGAAAGTTGTTATACCACTTGAAAATCGCATCATAAGGATATTGAGTTCATTTATCATAAAAGGAAAATGATGTCTCAAAACCTAGGTTCGGGACTAATGCACAACATTATAGCAAGCAAGCTTTTATTCATCCACTTACATATTCCATGCCCCCTAAAGCCGGAAAATGCCAAAGAATCATTGCAAGATCTGATAGAAAATAACCTATAGAAATCTGCAAAGAATACAAAAGCAAAGGGCACAAATAAGCCAATGCCATAAAGAATAAGTCATATAAGTAAGGGAAATAATGACAACAGTGCCCAATAACATAAAGCTTATTATTGAGATTGAGACAGGAGATATCAAAATAGAGAAAGAGACAGAGATTATGACAAAAATATAAAATAGAGAATTAGCCTGCAATGCAAAAGCAAAAGAAAACTACAATAGAGCTCCAAAAACTTTCTCAGGAAATATATATTTCAAACTAAAACAGAATGTGTGCCTGTGTATGTGTTTCAAAGAAACACCAAAAATGGGCATCATAGATGCTAGAAGTTAGAACATTATTTACCTCAAAAATAAAACACTTCTGAGGAAACCAACTGGATAAGCAGAGTGCAACATCCAAGTGTGCACAAGGCCAATGGTAATAAGTACAACTAACAGCTCATTTGGCCTTTTTCATTTGGGTCCTACCGTGCAGATTATATGACAAAATAATTGCCTATTCCTATGGGTCACAGTTCAGAACTAAGCAGTGCACCATAAGTTTGCAAAAACTAATTTCCTCTTTTTCCTTCCTTCGTTATTACCATATGCTGCATGTGCCTGGATCTAGTGCGAACAGAAAATATGTAAAGCACAACAAATTTGAAAAATTCAGAAATCAACTTATGTGAAGTCAAATGGATGAAAAATGAACCAAGTTGATAATATTCAAGGGACAAAAATGAGATCAACAACCAAATCCTGTCTGCATCTTCAACTTACTCCCAATACAGTATTTGACAAAATAGATGATCTACTAACAACTGGACCGTCATCCAAATCTTTATTGAAGACATCTGACATCATAAGGAGGTAGAAGGATGCATATGATACAAATACAGCATGGACTGTTGAGAACCCCCTGTTTTTCAAAAGGTGCTAATGTTTATGTCAAAGTTCAAATATGGATATATTCAATGAAAACAGGAATCATTATGTAAAGGCATTTCACCTGTTGTTCCATTCAGTTTTTTGTGCAGTGTTCAACTTGCCATATCCCTCAAACAATAGAGAGCTCACAAGAGCGGTTAATTTATAGACCTTCAAGAAGGAGGGAAAGTGTCAATGTTGCTGAAATTTATAGATTCCTGGTATCATGGAAATCCATACTGCATTAATAAGAAATCGTTATTGTAAAACCAGCATTGCTAATACTGCAATTTCAGCCCAAATGCTTTCCAAAACTTGCCACATATTGACCCTATATCATAGAGAAAGCATTTGTTGATACATGTGAATTGCTTTGAAAAATGTGAACCTATAGAAGTTATTACTGATATTGCTTTATGCTTTATCACCATATATCACACAACTAAGAAACCATATATAGCAACATTATAAAGAGTTCCCGTTTCCAAAATCATACCAACAATTTGGCAAATAAGAAAGCTCTAGCACTACAAGTAATTCCTATAATATTAATTTTACATTCCTGCAATGATCCCCTTTGAATGACAACAGCTCTGATCAACAAATAGTCTGTTCTCTCTTATATTCTGTTGACTTACTTACCTGACAGTCAGTTATCTCCTTTTTTCAAGTTACTCAACGATTTAAGTATTACGGAGCATAAAAGAAGGGGGGAAACGACACAGCCTTTTGTTCACTTGAAATATTCCGCATCTTTTGTGTTGTAACACTGCAACATGCTCTTATGGCAATAGTCGGATAATATAACAAGAAACGGGAAAGGAATACATCCAACTAAATTTGACCTATATGAAATTAAATTCGATAAGGATCACGGAGATAAGTTGATTAGGGGTAAAGTATCTCCGTTCAGCATTTATACATCACTAGAAAAGCCATATGCAGCCCTCACTTCCCTTTTCTGCTGAAGTTTTACGCCATTCCTATTTCTATTCCCTCGCCATTAAGGGGATAAGAGTTCCCATTTTAGCTAACCTAGACATTGTTTCCCAAAGCTTAAGAATTTAGTCAAAAAAACATCGCCATGTTAAACAGAAGTTCGCTACACTTACAATAACACAGGAAATGATACCGGCCAGGACAGATGCCAGCCAATGGAATTCTTTGTGTCGACTATCATAGTCATATGAGGCTGTTGAACCAGAGAGGAAACCGAAAGAAAATGCCACTGCCATCCAGTCGCCTTGCTGAGATTGCTATATCAAACTGTGACAAAGGGTAAAGAAGCCATATATGGTCAGCTAAGTTCAAAGTCTGCCGAAGCATGTATACAACGATGTAGTTGAAAGTCCCATCAAAAGAGTAAACAAGATTAAGACTCGGGTATAACACGTCTAAAAGAAATATAATTTGTTTAAACACATTTCCGTAGTCTAACCCATTTTATATTATTTTTAGCACAATATGAGCACGACATGCAAAATATGACACCGCCACAATTCCCTTACCCAGTTGAATGAATTTCTTGGAAAACAAACAAACCCATCAGAAAAAATGAAGAGAAGAAATAGGGCAAAGTCGCAAAGATGAAGGCATTTCTCACTACATATACGAGTCCAAAACTTGCAGCCACCAATAACAAAGATAATAGGTGAAACAATGAAGTTTTCCAATTCTTTCAGTCGGTCAGAGAGTCAAGCAGAGCACAGCCACGCGGGGCAACAAAATCTGCCCGAAGAAGAAGCAGGGAAGCAGAGGAGCAGAAACACGCACAGAAAGAGGATAAATGGGAATTGGTGAAAACCATATTTACTTACTGATTGTTTCAAAGTTGCGAGAAGACTGAAGCCGCATACGCGAACTGGTGGCTGGCTGAGCGTACTGAATAAGCAGGCAGAGGCAGAGAGAATAATAATGAATAAAAAAAAATTGAGATAGGGAGGGAAGACCATAAATATCCAAATAGAATCTTACTATTACTGTATAAAAAAGAACCTTACTGGTATTATGATATGAGACTCACTTTCTTCTCATATCGGGGCATCAATAATCTTCCCTTCTCGGAAAAAAAACGGTGCCATCGGTTTTGTCATTTGCTGACTGCAGCTGGAAGTGGGAGTTGAAGGAATGGAATTAATTAATGAATTGATTGATTGGATCAAATTTCGCTTTAATTTTAATTTAAATTTTAATTTCTGTGGCAAAACTTTTGCTAGGGTTTATTTGGGATGGTTCGTACGCTAATGCCCCATTTTTCTGGACTAGAACCACAAAGCCTTTCCTCGAGTTCAGATGCAAACAAAGTCCATTCTTTTTTGGTGTGAGAGTCCTTTCGTTTTCACAATAACTGAAGCACATTTGGAGAAGAAGACATTTCTATCCTACAGCAACAATCTCTTAAAAACTCGCATCTGATCTCGAGATTACCCCATCTCTTTGTCAATATGGATAATTAAGCGCAATGTTATAATTGAGTTCTCATTTTCCTTGAAATAGCCTCACATTCTCTCTCTCTCTCTCTTTTTATGCCGCTCTTAGCTTTTTATTCATGGGCCCATACTAACTTATATTCTTTTTTTGCTCCTAACTTGCTTGTTAATGGGCCCTATAGTCAGGTGTTTGAGAATGTGTTGGTGTTTTTAAAAAAGAATTGTATAATGTATGGTGAAAGTATTAGATCACAAGGTGGAAAGTGTGCTTTTTTGTCTCTATTGCCTGAAAGTGGAAAGTGTGTTGATGTGCTAACAAAATAAGCTATGTGGATAGTTATATAGTTGTGTGATATCAAGCCTGCAATTTTTTAGTTAAAAAAAAAACTACAATGGTTGGAAGTTACTCCTATTGTTTTACTGGGAAAATATTAAATATCACTTTACTAATGTATTATTGTATATAAAATATATCAAACAAATATTCTGTTATCCTGAAATTATCTCTTTTTTGGAATTCGTGTTATTTTAACAAATGATATACCATGACACTTTTTCCTTCAATCCGTCCAATATCTAAGCTCTCATATTTTGTGGTGGTGGGTGGTGGATGGTGGATGGGGGGATGTTATCGTTTGATTTTTTTATAAAAATAAACAAATAAATTCTAATCATGATCTAGAAAAGAAGTTATCTCGATGCACATTTATTGAAAAGAATATGAAAGGAATTTTTTTAATGAATGCATTAAACAGCGAGCATTCGCTTTTCATCAATAAGATTGAAAGAAACAGAGTTAAAAGTTGAAATTCTTTTACAAAAAAATAAGAGTATATAATCATGAGGTTCATTCAACCCTCAAAAATCCGAAAATGCGCAATGCATGACACGAGACAAAATCTAGTTGATAATTGATGGGAAAAATGATAACTAGTTTCAAATATTGTTAACCTCAAGAAGTTCATGTTATTTCATCACATTTTTCTTAAATTTTAATTCATTTTAGTTCAATTATATATGTTTTATTGCCTAAATTAGGAAAATATGTATTTTATTTTGAACTTGTGTTTTTGGCTTTAATTTGATATTTTTAGCTTAATTTCATATTATTTATTTGAAGTTTTGATTAGAAGCATTTCTAGAGCTTTGTAAATGTTTTTAGAAAGCTTTTAGATGAAGAAATCAAGAGCAAATGAATGATTTTCATTAGCTGTTAAAAACAGTGCAAAACTGCCAAAATCGTTTCAAAGTCGTGACTTTCGTTCACGACTTTTGTCGCTGTCAAAAAAATGTTGTGTTTTATTTATCAGAAATTAGTTGGCTAAAATACATATAAGCTGAGAACTCGACCCATAACGCATTCTTGAGACTTTTAGACACTTTTAAAGCTTGGTTGTGCTAGGGTTTGGGTATTGAAAGAGTTGGAATCAAGAGATTGAAGCTTTGAAGACATTTGGAGCTCATTTTCTTCGATTTTTCTATTCCTCTTCCCTTCCTCTCGTTGTAATTTGAAATGGATCCACTTATTTGTATATTTGTAGCCTGTGGATGATTATGAGTACTAAACCCTTTGTTCTAGTATTATTTGGAACCCTTGTATGGATTAACATTATATTTCTCCCCTCTTTTTGTGAGTAATGATATATATATGTGTGTGTATTTATTTTACTCTTTCCTTAATGCTTCTATTTGATTGGCCACCATTTAGATGTTGGGTTTACTTAATTGATACTTGAGAGGGCTAGGTTGAGTGTAGAACTTGGGTAAAATTGTGTAAGAACTTGATATTTGCATGTTGAATGGATGGTTTTGCTAGTAAGATAGAGATATACTTGCTAGCCTTACATAGCCACGTTAGGGTTGGTGTGTTTAAAATTGAGTTTTATTAATTGTAATAAGAGATTGAGTAATTAATTTAACTAAACACTTGTTCATGATTTGAGAGATTGAGTAATTAATTTAACCCTAAATTAGCACTTATTTTCATTAAAAGCATTCATGAGAGGGGTAATTTTGGTTCTAGGTCCTAAATTGTGTTGGAAGTTTCTGAATCACTCACTTTTTTTTATTTTCTAGTGTTAGTTTCATTTGCAAAATCATTTGTACCTAACTATGTGTAGCGCAACTTAATCGAATTTACTAGTCTTTTGCTTGATCATTGTTTTTGAACAAATCCTCAAAAAAACGATATTTTACTTTATTATATTACTTGCTACGACTCGTGCACTTGCGGTGAGCAACAAATAACAAAGTAATTACTTATATTTCAATATAATTTTTTAAGAAATAAATTATAAATATTTTTTTCATTAAAAATGTAAAGCATTTTTTAGGATTTAAATGTTAAAAATATAATGCATTTTTGCCTTTTCAAAGTATGATTAATATGATTTTTTTCAAAAAGTCTTTAATAAATAAATCACTTTATATTTATTTTAAAATGAAATACTCTATTAAATTAAATAGAAATAAATATAAAAATGATATTAGTTCAAAAACAACTAACTACTTTATTTGGGGTGTCATTACTTATTTAGTTAAAAATATCTTAATTTTTTCATAAAAACAGTATCGAGATTGATTTAGAGTACACGTTAGAGTTTTAGAATTTATGCAGGCGGCAAGTTGTGGCATGGATCTAGTGAACAATTAGGGTGCTCAACATCATAAAACACAGCGTTGCAGTGTTAACTCCCCCCAACCACAAATTATTTTTATAATCATAAATGAATATTATAAAATTATTATTTTAATATTTATTAAATAAATAATAAATATTAACCTGTTAAATTTGACCTTGAGATATAATTTAACAGTTTCAAGTGATCATTTAACTTTGTTTTACCAAAAAAAAAACTCTGTTAATGTCGTAAGAAATCCATAATGACTGTACTTATGTATATAAAAAACATCTAATTTCAAAGTTATCTTTTCCTAGCCCTATATTGAAATGCAACCAAGCTATACTGAATACACACATGCAAGAATTTAAATCTTTTGAAATTGGAATTGATGAATTTTTTATGAAGTTTTCTACTTTAAGAAAGAAAAGAATAGTTTATATTTAATAAAAAATAATAAAATGAACAAGAATACTTAAAAAAAGAGAAAATACGTAAATTTACCAACCCCAGCTTCAAAAGACTTAAATCCCATATGCAAAGCACTAAAACAGAGACATTTAGGATGCAACTTCTTAATCAATGCTAAGGTAAAAACGTTTGAACTAGATTCCTAACATCACTAGGATAAAGTAAAATGTTTTTAATGATCCAATAGCGTGCCAAAATCATGGTTTTGATGCCTTTTTGACTTAACCAAAGAAGCAATTAAAACTCAAAACCTACTAATATAACCAAACAAATCCTTACTTGTTCAGACGGGAAAACACTATAGAACAAAGCAGAAATTCAGCTGTTATTGTTTAGCATGCATCTCAAGCAGTGTGTGTCCGAAACCTGACATCCAAGCTTACAAAGAAACAAACAAAACAAGATGGCTCTCGAGTCTTAGAACACATTGGCGCAGATTTACAAAGCACCCAAGCTTATTACAGTAATTATAACTCAGCTTTAAGTGCAACCCTCAAGTTTCAACTTTTCATCATCATCACACATCTTGTTCTAGTACCCTCCTTGTTATATAAGCATTCAAGCGGTCAAGCTCTTGACGATGCTCGCTCACCACTGCACGAACCACATCCCACCAATGGATACCATGCCCATCATCCCCATATCGTTAATCACAGGAATGTGTCTGATTCTATTGTCTGTAAAAGGAAAAAAAAGGGGGGGGGGTTACATGATTCACTTCCAAGTTTATATGATCTTTTCTTAATATTCCTATTTAAGACTAAAGCAACAACGTACCTGTCATCAGTTGCATTGCTCGCAGAACTTTGGTGTCAGGTGTGACCGTAATAAGTTTGTTCTACACACACACAATGAAGCATTTTAGGATTCATGAATGTCAAGATTCACAGAAGACAAGTTTATGTAGCAAAAAAATATTGTCGTTTAGATCATAAGGACACGAGCTTTACCTCTCAGTCATGATATCACCACCTTGGTGGATTTGGACGATCTGCCCTGCACAATGATCTTCCTGAGGTAATCTGGACAAGAAGATGACAAAAGGTTTCACTCAAATGACCGAACAACAAGCCCACTTCAAAAGCACACTGCTTTTCATAGACTGGATCTTAACAATGTGCAAGACCAGATGCAAAGATGGACACAATTTTTGGCCCAAATAACAGTGCCATTTTTTGAGTTCCTTGATTGACTGACTTCACTCTTACAGAAATCAAGTTCCGCTATTGATTTTGAGCATTTACAGGCATGAAGGCACATTTGTCTGAAATTATTCCCCCTGAGAACAGTAAGTATCAATTTTGCTATTCCTTCCTTCTCCATCGTTTCAGATCCAACTATGCATCTCAAATTAATTTTAAGACAATCAGTATCGATGACGGAAAATCCTAAACATTTTTTCAGAAGACAACCTAACAGGCTAACATCTTTTAATGTACCTAAGTTATCCATAGATAACATTTCCAAATCTCATATAATGGACCTGTACTCTTTCTGTTATAATTCCTGCAACTGCCTTTCCTGCTTCTGCTCCAGGTTTCACAACAACCAATGCTCCAACATTGTGCTGAGTCATCTGTTATTTAAAATAAATGAATTAATCCGATCCAAACACCAACCATGTCACCGTAATAAAACTGCAGTATAAGATCTGATATGTATACCGATTTAACAGCATCATAAACAGTGTCATCAGTAGTGCACCAAAGCCAGGAGCCATCTGCACTCTTGCCTTTTGCTTTCAAGATGTCGGCAATCGTGGTGCTTTCAAAAACCATGCTCCTCCATACGAGGCAGGTGCAGCAGACTCGTACCGTGAAAAGGCAACTGGCTGCAGCAGGGGATTCACCATGCGAACTCGCTGCAGAACTGCATTTTTTATGATGCTACCATGTGACAAAAACGATCGCAGTCCTCCTTGCATTTTAACTGTCTAATAGAAAGAGAGATTAGTCCTCTTAGAATTTACATATTTGACTATTTTGTGAGGTAAAAGCTATAGCTCACTGATGCACTTATTCAAGTCCTCCTTGCATTTTTAACTGTCTAATAGAAAGAGAGATTAGTCCTCTTAGAATTTACATATGACTATTTGTGAGGTAAAGCTATAGCTCACTAATGCACTTATTCGTGGGATCTGGAAGCAGCTAGCTCCCACATGCAATTATGCACTCACGCAGTACAAAAACACGAATTACATGCAAATCATCCAGTTCACTGGGAAGTGAGGTTTAGAATGGCTTTGGAGCCACATAATACAATATTCAATTGGTACACAGCAGTTAAAAGTGGATGCATTAAGTCAAATTAGACACAAAATTTTACATTACAGAGATTCCATGTTTTAAGAATTTTGAGGTGAAAAGAAGACGGTGAATCAAACCAAAAGGATAAATAGTAAGCCAAAAGGTAGGTAACAGCATGACACGGCGTTGTAAAGCTAACAAGTAATCGCTTAAAGCACGAAAAAGGATTCCCACAGAACAACTAAACAACTTAAAGCACAGCCGGAAACATACAAGCGTTCAGCTCCACAATCAAGATTAATTTGGCTAGCTTGATATCAATCAGAGAAATCAAATTCCAAATTCGAAGAATGAAAACGTTCAAGAAGTTGAAAAGATGTTGACAAAAAATATAGAACTCGCTGCCCAGAATAAACAGAAGGGGTAAAATCCAATGGGCAAACTGAGTAAAATGCTAAGATTACATTTCCCCTCTTTTATGTAGGTCATATTTTCTTTTTTTGACAGAGGAGTGTCACGGATAGCTTCAGATGTCTTCACGTGAACAAAAAAGTTTAGTTCAATGCTATTGAACTCTACGGGTCCCTGGATAATTCATAACGTGGCAAGGTAGGTAGGTCATTAACACAACACAAAGCCCGCATGTCAGCATCAAAATTATAGCAATAACCTTAAAGTGGACTCATGAAAGATCTTTCCCAGCTGATCACGATCAACGAACCTAAAACATCTGAGAAACGGACGTATAGGCTTTATGATCACCCAAAACTTCCAATTCCATCTCAAACCGATTTTTTTCGAATTTTCTGGGTGGAAACTCAAAACTGATCTGTACTCACCTAATTATCCAAGTACCAGTATCCCAATGAAAGATTGGTGTATATAGTCAGAGAATACGATACAGAAAAAAGAGAAGAAAAAATGATAAGGACAAGCGAAAATTTCTACCAGTTCATAAATAGCTGAAACATCAAGGTTGAGAATGACTGAGAGCCAAAGGCGATAGAAAAGAACCATACCTGCGGAAACAGATCCGAGAGGCGGCGAAGTAAGGAGGGGATGGAAATGGCAGAGACCCTAGACTGGTACAGACTGCTTCAGTTCCGTTCTTTAATCCCTCGAAAGCTGACAAAAACCGTGACGTTGACGTCATATTCTTACCACTTTATAATGTTATCCATTTCACTGTTATTTATATATTATTCTTATAACAATTACCACAGTTATAGCGATTTGGTAGGCCATCTTGTCTTGCCTGCATTATCCGCAAACTTCATTATCCGCAAACTTTTTAAGATATTGAGGAATCTATTTCAATGTTCATGAGAGAAAAGTGCAGAATCACGGCAGGCCATCAATAATTTTATCTTTTTTTAAAAAAATTCTGGTATACAAATTTTAAATACGAAAATGTAATCAAACTTCTACAATATTCTTTTTCTTCTTCCTGTAAACGACCAGGTATGTGAGTGTAGACAATTGATTGACAACATAATGGACTAATATTTTACAATTTTAGATCATTCTTGATTCTTAGTAGTTTGCTAAACCCACCCGGGGTCCCCCCCCCCATTAACTTTTAATTGTTAAACTTTGCTTCTTTATTTTTTAAAATCAGATTCCTATATACATATCTATAAAAAAAAAGTATTTTATATAAAAAAAATGACAAGTAAAAACACTTAATTTATAGAGTAGTACGTGAATATTTTCTTAACATAACCTCTGAATCTCTTATATTTTTATTTTTGCCCAAATATGTCATATATTATAATTTTAAAAAATGATAGAAAAATCTCTTTAAATCATCTAAATAACGTATTGATTCCACCAAATGGCATAATTTCTCTAAAGTCTCGAGAGATATTTCTATCATTAAGAAATTATAAGAAATGATAATTTTTGCCTTTTATTCAAATTTAAAAAATTAACAACTTTCTATTCACAAGTTTTGTTCCTATATTAATAATTTTATTTCTAAATTCACAACAATTCAATAGCCATTCACAAGTTCAGATTTGCAGGTCTTGATATGCATCATTCACAACTTTTCATTTATAATTTTTATTCTTATATTAACAATTTTGTTTATAAATTCGCAACAATTCAATAGTTATTCGTAACTTCATATCCGTAGGTCCTGATATGCATTAAGTGTTGAAAATTTGTAACTTTTCATTCACAACTTTTATTCTTAGATTAACAACTTTTGTTTTTAAATTTACAACAATTCAATAGCCATTCGCAACTACACATCTGCAGGTCCTAATGTGCATCAAGTGTTAAAAAATCATAACTTTTCATTCATAACTTTTGTTTCTATATCAATAACTTTTGTTCGTAAATTTGTAATAATACAACAAGAAATTATAATTTATTAATACCTTTTGTAAATTGACTCAATCAATATGGCTTCAATAAATGGAACACGTGATTTTTCCCTTTCGTCTCCAACACACACATCCACATCTCTCGAAAATCCATTATTCTCTACCAATTTTTTGTAATTCAAGCCCTTATCCCTCGTCAAATCTTTCTCCGCAGCACACACACTAGCACTCTCTTACAATTTAGCTTTCTCAAGTTTAGATCCTTCTTCGGTTAACCAACGGATCATTGCCCCCTAACACACTCGAGCAAAGAAACTTCCATAGACGATCCAATTTTGCTGCATATGCGACTTGATTCCATTCAGACTCTGTTAGTTCCTCGCTCAAGAAAAAATGTTGCAGTAAAATTAAAGTTTCTAATGTCAGGTTCAATGGTTTTTTTGAACCGACCTGATTCGCCATGTGGTGTGTGATATTATCACTTGTACTATCCCTGGCGAAGATCCCCTTCCCTGAATCAGTGACAATGAAGCAAAAGAACATGCACTAATTGAGGCTCAGGGCTTTTGTTTTATTGGAGGGCAGTGTGGTCATTTCCTTTAATTTCCCAATGATAGAAAAATCCCACTGGACTCCAGGAGAATTATGCTATTTCACGAGACCAATATGTCATTTAGATAATTTAAATGGATTTTTCTTATAATTTTTCATTCATTTTTTTTAACAATTATAACTATAAGGATAATGACAAATTTTTACTCCTTAAAAACATTTTTAAGTGGTTAAATGTTAAAAAATATACAATGTTTTTAATCTTTTAAGATGTAATAGTTACTTTTTTTAAGTGCCCTGTTGAATAGATTACTTTATTTTTTTAAAGTAAAGCACTTTATTAAATAGGCGTAAATAGTAAAAGATAAAATTAGTTTTGAAATAAGTAATTATTTTATTAAAAGATAAAATTTAATTAGAATGTCTTATATTTTTAAATGGATTGAGTATATAAAGTAAAATGATTGTTATAAAAAATGTGATAAGCACGCAAAAAAAAAAACTTGTACTGGACACGTGTAAGGTGGAGCAAATTTAGTAATTTACTTTTCCTGTCTCAAATATTGATGTGGTGATAAAAATTGGATTTGGATCGCATGGGGATTAGTTCTGTTTTAGGAATTTGGACAGGCCTGGATCGTGTTAAGATGCATACAGTGTATCGGATCAATTGATGTGATGGGACCCGGGCCTTTTCTTTTTTGTGGCCCTGACGGAATCCTTTTATTCTTTTTTTTTTCTTTTCATTTTATTATATCCTTATTTCTCAATAAGCATTCAGAATTTTTTATGCGCAGAATTCCCACCGCATCAGCATTTGCAAAAGGTGACGACTTTTATTTTATTTTTATTTTTTGTATAATAAATAAAACAGCAAAGTTGCAAAGCGTGTCATATACACGATCAATCCAAGGGTCTCCGGTTTTATTGACTGTGCTCGTGATTATTATTTATAATTTTATAATATGTATCGATGATTGATTTTTCTTGGAATATCCTTCATGGAAAAATTTTTGGTTCAGAAATTCACAAAAAAAAATATATATATTCCCTCCAATCAACTTATTGATAACTTAAAAAAAATAATTTATTTTATAAGTCATTGAATTGATAATGATATTTTATTTTAAATAAAATATTTAAATTACTTTTAAAAAGTAAGAGAAAGAAAAATAAAAAAATAATATTTTATAATTTTTTTTGAGAGTTATATTTATAATTTTATTAAATTTTATTTTTATATTTTTATTGTATTAATATTAATAAAAATAATTTATAATAAAATTGGAGGGAGTATCTGTCTATTTAACCGCGAAAGTTAAATGACACACACGAGTCTGCTTAGGGACAAAAGAATCTCGTTATTAAGTTATGTTCGCATGTTCAAAAGGGATGCTGAGTTTCATCCACAGGTCAAATGAGCAGCAAGTAAATGTCATTTGCGAACACTCAACAGTGGTGCTTGCTTTGATTTTACCCATGGATGCCAAGTTGCCATCGTGATCGGTTAGTTAGCTGTTGAACACGATTCCCTAAATCAGTGACAATGAAGCGAAAGAACACCACTAATTGAGGCTCAGGGCTTTTGTTTTATTGGAGGGCAGTGTGGTCATTGCCTTTAATTTCCCATGATAGAAAAAATCCCACTGGACTCCAGGAAATTATGCCATTTCACGAGACCAATATGTCATTTAGATAATTTAAATGAATTTTCTATCAGTTTTCGTTCATTTTTTTAAACAATTATAAACTTAAGGATAATGACAAATTTTTACTTCTTAAAAAATGTAAAACATTTTTTGAGTGATTAAATGTTAAAAAATATATAGTGTTTTTAATCTTTTAAGGATGTAATAGTTACTTTTTTTTAAGTGCCCTGTTGAATAGATTACTTTTTTTTTTAAAGTAAAGCACTTTATTAATAGGTGTAAATAGTAAAGAAAATTAGTTTTAAATAAGTAATTATTTTATTAAAAGATAAATTTAATTAAAAATACCTTAATATTTTAAATGGATTGAGTATCTAAAGAAAATGATTTGTTATAAAAATGTGATAGCACGCAAAAAAAAAAAACCTTGTACTGGACACGTGTAAGGTGGGGCAAATTTAGTAATTTACTTTTCCTGTCTCAAATATTGATGGGGTGATAAAAAATTGGATTTGGATCGCATGGGGATTAGTTCTGTTTTAGGAATTTGGACAGGCCTGGATCGTTTAAGATGCATACAGTGTAATCGGATCAATTGATGTGATGGGACCCGGGCCTTTTCCGTTTTTTGTGGCCCTGACGGAATCCTTTTATTCTTTTTTTTTTCTTTTCATTTTATTATATCCTTATTTCTCAATAAGCATTCAGAATTTTTTATGCGCAGAATTCCCACCGCATCAGCATTTGCAAAAGTTGACGACTTTTTATTTTATTTTTATTTTTGTATAATAAATAAAACAGCAAAGTTGCAAAGCGTGTCATATTCACGATCATCCAAGGGTCTCCGGTTTTATTGACTGTGCTCGTGATTATATTTATCATTTTATAATATGTATCGATGATTGACTTTTCTTGGGAATATCCTTCATGGAAAAAATTTTTGGTTCAGAAAATCACAAACAAAAATATATATATTCCCTCCCATCAACTTTATTGATAACTTTAAAAATAATTCATTTTATAAGTTATTGAATTGATAATGATATTGTTATTTTAAATAAAAATTTAAATTACTTTTAAAAAGTAAGAGAAAGAAAAATAAAAAAATAATATTTTATAATTTTTTTTGAGAGTTATATTTATCATTTTATTAAATTTTATTTTTATATTTTATTATATTAATATTAATAAACATAATTTATAAATAAAATGGGAGGAGTCCTGTCTATTTACCGCGAAAGTTAAATGACCCACACGAGTCTGCTTAGGGACAAAAGAATCTCATATTAAGTTATGTTCGCATGTTGAAAAGGGATGTCGAGTTTCATCCACAGGTCAAATAAGCAGCAAGTAAATGTCATTTGCGAACACTCGACAATGGTGCTTGCTTTGATTTTACCCATGGATGCCAAGTGCCATCGCGATCGGTTAGTTAGCTGTTGAACACACGAAAACACACACACACACAAAAACACGAAGCACTAGCACTACTGTTCCACGCATGTCTCCATCCATCACGCAGATGCTGTTAGATGATCTATATAATGTATAATCTTATAGATGACGCAATCTGTGTCGGCTACACTTAATCAGGACTGTTCGCATAGTACGTG